TGGATCTTTTCACTTGAGGTGTTCCTTCATGAGCCACTTGCAAAGTGTCCCATATCTCCTTGGTAGTAGTACAACTTTGGATTCTACTGTACTCATTTGGACCTAGTCCACACACAAGCCATTTCTTGGCCTTAGCATTTTTCTCCCACTTTTTTAGGTCTTCAACAGTGCAGTCAGCTCTTGTCTTTGGAACAACCACTCCTTCCTCATTTTTCATTGTAGTTGCCAAAGGACCATCAGTGACTATGTCCCAGAGTTCATAGTCTTCTCCTATGATGTGATCCTTCATCCTGTTCTTCCACCAAGAGTAGTACTGTCCATTAAACAGTGGAGGCCTGACAGTGGATTGCCCTTCCCAGTTCCCAAGTGGTGCACTCATGTTGATCTTTAAAGAACACAGAGATTTTTACGTGGAAAACACCTGGCTCAAAAGGTGAAAAAACCACGACCTACTACTCAGTAGGATTTTCCCAAACATCCACTAAAATCACTAAGCCAAAACAGCATTTACAAAACTCTTTGTAAACCTAAGGATTAACTCTAATCCCTGTGTAGCGCACAACCTCAACTGTTGCGACACCTTTAAGTTAGCCTATAACTTGAACACTCAAAGTACCTATTACAAATGCTTCTATGAAAGCTGAAAAGGTACAACTTTAAACCACCTACTATAATTGAACTAGAATAAGAATAAACACAACGGAACTGGTTCTTTTATCTCGTTCAAGTAGCTTCAGGTTTGCACACTTGAATTACACACGAACTGCTTGCAAAAAGCGTTGCTATTTTGCTCCCTATTCACGTTTAACTTCTGCGTATGTGCAACACCTGTAAAAGAGAACAATTACTGTTATTTAATGAGTTAGTAATCAGAGTTTGATTGAGACTCAATTGTTGATCTTCCATCGAAGTTGAGTCCTTGTTCAATACAAACTCCAACCCTATCATTTATCCGGATTGTGTGATTGTGTCCTCTTCCTATAAGGAGACTTTCTCTCCTCATCCAATATGCAACCTTTTCGATCAGTTCAGGAGATATTGCTGCTTGATTACTGAGACTTATCTCCTTCACGTGTATCTCACATGTCTAGGTTAATAAATGATATGCCTCACATGATGAACCCGGCCCATGACTGAGTTCATTTGTCATTCTTCAAAACTTCACATGAACTTGGGCCAACACATCCCAACATACTACATGTCATTATTCCTATCCCATGCTCAGTTTTAAAGCAATTAGATAGACTCAGAAAGAGATTCTTATGGGAAGGAAATAGCCTAACCCATAAAATTTCCTTGGTTAAGTGGTTGAAGGTCACTCAACCAAAGTCACAAGGAGGTTTGGGCATCAGAGATCTAAACGCTCATAACAAATGTATGCTCTGGAAATGGTTATGGAGGTATGGTCAACCGGAGAATGGGTTTTGGAAAGATGTCATTGATGCCAAGTATGGAATGCAAAGCCATTGGTGTACCAAAAATAGCTCAACCCCCCATGGGGTTGGCCTATGGAAAAATATTAGCAGAAACTGGAGTGAGTTCTTTGAGAATGTAACTTTTAAAGTTGGCAATGGAATGCATGTGAAATTCTGGAAGGAAAGATGGATTGGAAGCTCAACTATGAAGGACTCATTCCCTGGGCTGTTTCAGATAGCATGCAATCAGAACTCCACTATAGCTCAGAATAGGGAAGGAAGCACATGGAATCCCTTATTCAGAAAGAACCTACACGATTGGGAAATCAATGATCTACTGGCACTCTTTGAAGCTTTAGAAGGCTACAACATTGAAGAACAACAGCCAGACAAAATCACTTGGGGAAGCTCGAAGGAAGGCAAATACACAGTCAAAGCCGGTTACAATCTCATTTGCTCTCAAAATGGGATATTACAGAATTGGCCTTGGAAGCACATATGGAAAACCAGACTGCCTACTAAGTTGCAGCTGACTTATGGAATTTCTTTTATTCCATATTTGGATTATCCTGGGTCACCCCTCAGTCAGTCAACGATACCTATGATAGCTGGTTTTTGTGGAAAGTTGATAAGGCCATCAGAAGGATATGGAAAATGATCTCATCAACTATTTTTTGGTGTATCTGGACAGAGAGAAATCGCAGATGTTTTGATGGTGTCTCAACTCCAGCATGCTTCATGAAGGCTAGATGTTTGGTTAGTCTTTTTAGCTGGAATTTCATGACCCCTGTAAATAGCACTGATCACTTTTTGGACTTTGTTAGCTCTCTGGTCCTAGCATAGTTTTTTGTACTTATAGAGCTAACAGTCACCTCTCTTTGTAACTTTTGTTTGCTTATGCATCTTCTTGATGCCTTTTTAATGATAACACCTTACTTCATCCAAAAAAAAAAAGAATTTATATTGGGCAATATAGTAAGCTGCCACATAAAAGTTTTCTGTTATTACATATTTGATAGAATTAACTGTGTAGCTCTGCGGAATACGGAAGGAGAGTAAGAAGTTGCTTTGGTGGTCATGATTGTAACAACCGTCAAAAACGACAGAACACTAAATAGTGTCTCTAATGTAAGGTTGATGATAAAGAGAAGCCGCAAGCAACAACAGTCTGATGTTAGCTTTTATATTGGTGGGTGATGGATTTGGTGTGATGTCTTATGTCACGTTTTTTTTAAGATAAATGTGACAGAGTACTCGATCATGCCAAACAATTTTTTATGTACGGCCAAGTGCATTATGTAGATTTTGTATTTCTAAACAGTTTTCCATTTAGCACCCAGTTTTATTCTGTTCCTACATTATTTATAGTCAAGTTTATGCCTCTATACATATAGGGTTTTAGAATGTGAAGATGATAAAAAATATTTCACCTCAACATTCGCTCTCCGTGTTGGCCGTTGTGCACGGGCGACACCAGTCTAGTTCTTAAAATATAACTTAAATAATACATCCATTAATCATATTAAACAGTTGAAAAAAGTGAAGCACACAACACATGCTGGGGAAGAAAGGGTAAATTGGGGAATTGTCATACAGTGAGGCGAGGAGGAACTTTGAAGGAGCAAAAGACTTGACCCGGTTCAACTCGAATGCCTCTGAGCGCATAATACTGATAGAAGCTAAACTCGGTCCCGAATCGGTGAGGAGGAAATGCAAGTGACGAAACCCGGTCCGATTCTACTTGGGTTGCTTTATCCATTTGCTTCTCTCTTCTTGGCGTTATGAAATGTTGATGAAGAAGAGAAATATATGCAAACACAGATCTTGGTCAACGGTCACCTTTTCTTTCTTTACATTTTAAAACAAATATTAGATGAGTTGACCCTTCCAACAACATCATGGACAAAAACTGTTCGCTTGCTCATAACAAAACATGAATGTCAAATACGAATGTTTATACAAACACATTTACCACTTAATAAGGACAAGGAATGTCTTTCTCATTTTAAGGTTAGAAAAAAAAATCCTACAGTATTTGTTGGGTGCAAAGACCCAGTGATAGTAACTAAGCAAGCATTTCCTCGGACTTGCTCTTTCAGCTTGCATAACTGGTAGAATAACTATATGGTTTGTATTTATTATGTTATCAGTAATCTGCTGAAGTAAGTACATAGGATTATATGATAACATATGGCGTATTGACCTTGATTCTATGGTATGCAATATTTTTCTCGAGTCATCCATTTCAATTAACTGATTTTTATCTGCTGGTAGTAGTAAACATTCATCAGTTTTTGTGACAGGTTAAACGATAATGGTTTTCCAGTTACTTATATCTGTTGTATAGGTTTTGCATATAGCTATGAACAAGTTGTCGTATAAGAAGCTGGACCAATTTGGCCAAGTTAAAGCTAAAAACATGCAAACCAAGCAGCAATGGTGTATCTCATGGCAGCGGACTGCGGATGCCAGTGCACCAACAATTTACGAACTCTGTGTGTGTATTATGCCTCAATCACAAACTTTTTGTCTTTTAATGCACCAACCAACAATTTAGGAACTGTGTGTGAGTACAAATGCAATGGCTACTCGGCACCAAATGAAAATCTTGTATCCATCTCCACTAACAAGCAAATATTTACATCGCACTTATTCCTCACAGGCATAATGCTGCTCAATACATGTTATCGCAGCAACAAAAAAAACTATGTACTACCACTTACTGATCTAAGAAGAAAACATATGGACCAGGTAGTAGAAACTGAACCGCCTCTTCAAAGAGGCATCTTGGTCCAGAAAAATACTTCATCACATTTTACTAGCATGTTTACCAAATAGTGAATGCCGCCCCTCGGCAATGAGCTCCCCAGTAGCTTTATTTTTCACAAGTACATTTGTTCCAGAATAACCTCCTTTCCGACCTAAGACTCGACCAATGATCTCCAATTCATCCTGCATAAATCCCACCCAAAGAAACACATAACAAAGTCTGAAATCCATTAGTAGAGGTTCAATGCACATTAAGAAAGACGAAAAGCAGAAATGAATTTCCAAACGAAAGATGGTAGTGATCAAAGGCAGGATAAACCCCATTGAGTTGGTTCAAAGCGTAACTTACTAGGCTGCTCTGACGAAGAGATAGGGCTAATATATGAAACGTAAAACAACATATCGGAAGTCTAGTAGCTTAATTCATGGTGTTGGCTTATAATCACAAAGGACTGAAAAAAATCAAATCAAATTGGGTGGATAAGCAGCAATAAGTGAAGTGCCTCACTACCTACCCGGGGCGGACCCACCTTGTATGAAGTTGAACCCTCTTCATTGGAAAAATTAATTATTTTTACTTTGCAATTGTATCAGAAAATTATGAAACTGATAAATAATATAATACATGAACTCGTTTGACACTAACAGAGGTCGTGGAGCAGGGGCAAGCGGGTTCAAATTTCAAACTAAGGCCAGGGTCGCCAGTTCAAATCTTCGCCATGTTAAGCCTTGTTGTTTCCGATTTGTCTTTGTTTTCTTACTTTCTCTTTATGATTTCTTATCTTTATTTAAATTCAATAAAAACTATTCTTATTAAACTCCTCCATTTTACTTCAAAAAAATGTAATTCTTTCTAAAAAGTGATTTTTTTTTCCTGGTGCTTCATCGAAATTACTTGTGATCTTTTAATTTAGTTTATATTGAAATTATTAATTTGTGTTATACTCAAAAACTTTAGTCTGGTTGTAAAATATCTTCTTCTTTTTTAACAATTTGTATAAATTAGTTTAGTTTATAACCTTTTTTTTTCGTGTCTGTTTTTAGTAACAATTTTGTAGTTAAATTTCTTAGAGTTATAGTACGATAGTTAAGTAGGTTAAATACTTTTTGGTTAAATTTTTAAATTTTCTGAAATCAAATTTGTTAATTTTAAAAATTTAAGGGCAAAATTTTCTTTGTTTTTTTTCCCCCAAAATTTGCCCTACCTTTTAAAAAAAATTACTTCATTTTGAAGTGATCTGATTAACAAAAAAGAGCAGTGCACAGCTTCCATTTACCGTTGTACTTATACAATCGACTACCATGATTTCTTATTGAACCCGATTGTATAAAATCCTGGGTCCGCCACTACTACCTACTAAACTGATTGGAGACTCATACTGGAGAGGCAAGTAACTAAGTATGATTTAAGATTACCCTGTTTCTTTAAATATAAACTCCACTCCCCAAAGTTGAGTGCAGCATTTACTAACACAGGAAAACAGTTTTAAAAAGAAAAAGGGGAGGTGGAGGGAGCTTGCTGCACTGTGCTCTTCTGCAATCCAACAGTAAAAATGAACCTGTTTTGATGCTTGAAATACAAAACATAAAGTTAATATAGAGAGAATATTCCTACTCTTTCCCATATGCAGCAAAACTAGGCATATAAGCAAATAAAATCCATATACGGGCAATGCTGAAAAGCATTAGCTACGGAAGGGTCACATAAAAATGGTCTATTACTCCATTCAGGCATTATCTAGAAGCAACAACTTGAATACTTAGAGCCTACGTCATGAGCCGTTGCCAATCGCTTAACCCTAAGTGTAGTGGAAAGGGGGTGGTTCTATCCCCTATATTCCCTTGCAGAAACCATCCCAGAACATTCCTCATACCAATATACCGATACCACCACGCATCTCACATCCACTCTTTCGTGTGCTTATAGTGCAGTCAAATTGTTATCATCACTTCTACTAACTCACAATGCCTCCATTCCCTCTATTTATCCAAATTCATACTTGTTCTTACTTAACTACCCAAACAAAGCTTAAAGTATCTAAGTTTTATGGCACCAAATTAGGATGCGGATTAGAAGATGTGACCGTTCCCTTGGAATCTATACCGTACCTGATTGCTAAATAGTTGATTGTGTCGTGAAATGGATCGGATTCTTCCCATCCTTAATTAGAGCTCTCAAGTTTAAATGTTGAGAATGAGAAACTCCAGGTATGAAGTGTTTTTCCCTTTAGAGAACATTAAACATGTCAAATCACTTTAGGTTTTGAATACCGAATACAAAAAAAAAACAAGCAAAAAGACCCAACTCAAGAACTATTAGTAGTTTCAACCTTCAGGAATGAAGGTTAGGGAATGAACTGGGAACGTTCGAAGAGTCGTAGGTTGTTTAAATGAAGTATTATTATCTTATATTTGCGCTAGTTTCCTGAAGTTGAAAGAGAGGACCCTGATCAGCTAGTTTATTAGCAACCATAACAAGTATATAGCTGACCGATTTTTGTTATTCCGCACTATATTCGCATGACTTGCGCATGATGAAAGCAGAACCAGTCTATCTTCCTCTTAAGCATTTAATTTCTTCCTTCACAAAATTCATGAACCAATAACGAAATCCTTGAACGATAGGAAGAATGAGGGGGCTTACATCGGCCTTCGCACTTGAAAGAAATGAAATTGACATGTCCACAGATACATTCCTTGGGAGACCCTCCACAAAGACTACAGCACCCCCGACTTCGTCAACTAGATTCGCGATGGCGCCTGATGCTAGTTTCCCTTCTCTATCCTACAAATTTACATTAAAAAAAAAATTCAATTTCCAAGCAACAATGCAGTTAAAAAGAAGGAAAAAGTCCATTTACTTTCAAAACCCTTCATCTGCATACAGTTGCATCACAAACAGATAATGAAACGCGTACTCCGTCACAATTTATATGATACGTGTCTGAATCAGCTTGTGCTCAATCTACATGATACTCTTACCATTTTCGTATGTGCTACAATGTTTGTCACCATTATATCTAAACAATTATCACAAAAGTCAAGAAGTCGAATTCCATTTGAAAATGAGAAGCAAACAACACAGACTAATTAAAATTTAAACTTTGAAAATGAGAAGCACATAACACAGACTGAGGAAAAAAAGGGCAAATTGGGGAATGTCATACAGTGAGGCGAGGAGGAACTTTGAAGGTGCAAAGAACTTGACCCGGTTCAACTCGGTCAACTCGGATGCCTCTGAGCGCATAATACTCATAGAAGCTACAGTCCGTGCCGACCCGGTGAGGATGAAATGCAAGAGATGAAACCCGGTCCGATTCTCCCTGGGTTAGTTCAAGATAAGCTTTCGCTTTGTTCATTTGCTTCGTCTTCTCGGTCTGGTCGTAGAATCTTGGCGTTTCCCTCAATTTTATAAGCCTGATTGTTCTTGGGTTTTTGGCTAATTATGTCTGCAACGAATTGATAACAAGTATATTCCTATAAAAATGCAGAAATGAATGTGAAAAGTTGATTAAGAAGAGAAATTTGGGTAACCAGTGATGACTATAGGGAGATTGGACGAAAACCTGTCTCTCTTGGGCTAGCGGCTTTAACGTGAAGTAAACGGATGAACAAGTAAATATATACTCCATTATTTTGGCGAATCTATTTTTTTTTTTTTTGTCATATATATTAGCATTTAATAACCGCGTACAGATGGCTGGGGCCTAACCGGCACCCTATCACAAACCATTGTTGTATTACAAAATCCTAAACTACTACTAATATTTACAGTTGTCATGGTCATCCTATTGGAATTATCATCATGACAACTAGTTACACACGGATATCGGCAATTCATATTGCCACCGTAATTTTGCCAAGCAGTGTCTTGGCGTGATTGAGTTCCTTCCAAACAAGCCTTGTCCTGTGCAAAAGTTAGTTCAACAAAATTAGGAACATTTTAAAAAACTCTCGGCAAATATTCCTTTTCAAAATTGTGGTCTTCTTTTGCTAGTTGGTTTGATGATCGCAATGTAAGAGAATACTTTCAAAAAATTTAAAAATATTAATTATCGTGACTTATTGTGCTATTTTTTATATAGGTTTTAAATATATCAATTTTATTTCAGAAGTTTAAGATTTTATGTGCGTATTCAGATAAAAATTAAGTAAATTAATCAAATTCTAGTTTAAACCTCTTAAAACACATTAAAGAAAGTATAAGGTAGGTTATATTTTTGAAGAAGACATCAAATATATTACTCTCTTGGTCCAAAAGTGACATTTGTTTAAACTATTCTTTTTCAAGCAATATTTTTACATAGTTTTAAATATATAATTTTTCAAATAATAAAAATTTTAACGCTTGAACCCATGAGAAAAATTAGAGTTAGACTTATGTACTCTTAATTTTACTATCGTTTGAAAATTAGAGGATTATATAAACTGTATATTGTTTTTTCACCTCTATTTTTTTGCCGGGTTTGGCGTATTTTTTTAAAATACTACCATTAGATATTATCATTCGGAATAGACAAGACGTCTGAAATGATGTTGCTTAAAGACCGCATTATTATTGGGGTCAAAATAACACAGCGTCATGTGGAAGATAACGATTCAAACTTTGGTGTTATTAAATCAGACGACAAAGGAAATTATACTAAAAAAAACATATTATATTTAAAAAGAATTGGTCAATTGACCTACATAAATTATTCCCTAAACATGACTCTTAAGGACTATATTATAGATGATATTATGTTGTCTTTGTGTGAAGGAGGAATCCTCTTTAAAGAAGTCCACAACCTTCTAAGAAAGAAATATGTCAACTACGGAAGAGATTTGTATTTTCTTTTTAAGAAAAGTAAAATTAGTTATGGTAAAAATTTTACCCTTCCCTCAAGTAACATGTAAATCGAAATATAAAAAGAAAATTAGAGCAAATCTTAACAATTCTTTTCTTTGCTTGAATTTTCTTGATAACTTGATCCGCCTTTTTCACATAATTTTCATCACTGTTGTTTGCCATGATTAAACGTAAGTATTGATTGAAAATTTAGCTTTATACATTAAAAGTGAGCACATGTTAAAAATATTTGAGTCCTGCATTAAAAATGCATAGGATTAAAATGGAGCACTACATCAAAGTACACAGGGTTAAAAGTTAGAGCCATGCGTTAAAAGTATGTTAAAAAAAAAATTCTCAGTAGTACTTTGAACATATTTTTTGAACATCTTCATTATCGTCAAATTGGCCGTAGCTTGAGCGAAACTCGACTTGAACTTGCTTTCAACCTCGATTCAACTATTGGCTCTAATATTATTTGTTGGGATCAAAATAATAAGGCGTCATGCGAAAGCTAACAAAGCAAATCTTAATGACGATAAATCAGACGACAAAGAAAATTATACCAATAGACATATTATATCTAATATGATTTGGTCAATTGATCTACATCAGTCTACTAATATAAAGGAGAATTTTTCTTTTACCAAGAGTATAAAATCTCTCCTTAAACATGAATCTCTTAAGGAGTACATTGTGTATGTTATTGTGTTGTCTTTCTATGAAGGAGGGATCATCATTTATAGAGGTCCACGACATTTTCCTCCAAGAAAAGAACATCTCAACTATGGAAGAGATTTATATATATATATATATATATATATCCAGTAAAATCACATTAGTGAGGTCTAGGGAGGGTAGTGTGTACGCAGACCTTACCCCTAACCCGAAGGGGTAGAGATGCTATTTCCGAAAGACCCTCAGCTCAAGAGAACAAAAAGACAATATTAGTATCACCAGATAAATCATAGGAAAAATAGGAACAACATGAATCTAGACGAAAGATGCAAAGCAAAAGCAATAGCTATTAAATAGGTCCTGCACTGAAAAATAGTAAGAGACAACATTGTCACTAGCTATCTTAGATAAAAATCCTACCAGACTAGTCTCACAAAAGTATTAAGTAAGGTAATAGTCAACTACCTCCTAACCTACAACCCTAATACTCGACCTCCACAATTTCCTATCAAGTGTCATGTCTTGGGAAATCTGAAGCTTCGTCATATCCTGCCTGATCACATCTCCCCAATACTTCTTAGGTCGTCCTCTACCTCTTCTCGTTATTGTGTTGTCTTTCTATGAAGGAGGGATCATCATTTATAGAGGTCCACGACATTTTCCTCCAAGAAAAGAACATCTCAACTATGGAAGAGATTTATATATATATATTTTAGAAAAATATAAAATTAATTATGCTAAATGTTTTATCCTTCCTTCAAGTAATACGTAATTCCAAACATGAAAAGAAAATTAGGGAAAACCCTAACAATTATTTATAATAAAAGATATTATGCAATTTTTTAATAATTGTATTCTCCGGTCCAGCTTGAACACACCTGCACTAATTCCACGAGATACCTCTTACCAGCAATAGGTATCAGTAAAGCTATCCATTAAGACTTGAACAAATGAGAAGAAATTCACCCATGTTTTGTGAAATTTACAAATTTCAAATTTGAATCAAAAGAAATTCGTGTTAAACATTTGAATCAATGTTTATCTTTCAAGTTTGTGCTAATATAGGTTATTTTGTGTTACATAATACAGCAAGTAATTTTATTTAAAGTCATTTATATATTAAAACCCTTTTCTTGTCAAAACGGGTTAATTAATTAAACCCCTTGTTTCAAGTTAAAAGAGTAATATTTGTAACTGTTGCCTTTCTTATGACATTTTGCTGATGGAGGAATTCGCTTTCTATATCATAGAAGGATCAATATTATAGCTCTAGCTAGTGCATTTGGCCGCGCTTCGCGTGGTTTTAAAATTTATTTTTTGCATCCAAATTTTTTAATTAGACTATAGTGATAATCCTTTTGAAATGTTTTTTGTTATATTACAGAAGAGATATTTGTCATATTCCTACTTAAAATAGAGAGTACTTTCACTTCTATAAATGTGTTTGCATATATAGATAGATCTTATATATTTTAATGTTTACTTCCTCTGTTCCATTTTATGTGAAACTATTACTTTTTGAAAATTTAATAAAGTTATTTTTGAGCACATTTTTAAAAAATACTTCTTAAATATCTTGAGTTACTCACTATTTTGATTTATAGTAATTTAGTTTCTAATATATGTAAAGTTATTTTTAAATTTTTTAAAATTCTATGTCCAAATTCACATGGGAAATTAGTTAGTTTGTCCCTCATACTCGAAAAAGTTCACATAAATTAAAATGAAGGGAATAATATTTTATTTGTACATTTAAATTTTCTTAGATAGTTATTAGTAATTTTTATAATTTTTTTAAACAAAGCATGAAGTAGTAAAAGAGAAAGGATAAATAAAGTAATTAAAACCTACCATATATATGAAACAAAGTAAATGAAATATTATTTTGAAATTAAGCTTTGATTCGGCCGAATATTTCCTTTCCTTTCTTTTTCTTGTAACTTTTCTGTTTCTCTTTCCATTTCCAATTGTTTTATTTTCAGTTTTCTTTTCCACCCCTTAATCTCTTCCTAATTTTATGCAAACTTTCCAATAATCAGTTTTTCCTTAAAATACTCTCATCATTATCTTCTATAAATTTGAGTTGTGCTTCAACGGAAAAAAAAAGAAGAAGAAATAGCAAGACAAAAATTACATTCACACCAGACTCTATGTTGCAAATATATATCAAATTGGCCATAGTTTCTGATCTGAACTTCTAACCCTAGCTTCTTTTCTTCTTTTTTGCTTCTCCTTATGATATGATATTTTAAACCCCTCACCAAAAGCCTTCTGATTCCTCTTTTTGGTGACTTGAAGAGTGAAGAAAGAGTGATTCGTATAGTATTTTCAATCCGCTTCAAGCTATCATGATAATTCATCAACCTTGGAGTAAACAATCTCTATTATGGTATGGTGATGATTCAAGCGGAGGTCAAGCTAGTAAGAGTTTTGATGATTCTTTGAAATTACAAATGGCCTTGGATTGTTAATGCCTTGGTTCCTTCACTTCACTCATCCTTATATCTCACTCATTTTTGCTAATGCACACTTCACAGGATTTGGATTTAATTTGTGGAATAGTGAGATGGTGAATGCATATGGTATTCTATTTATATAGGTGTTTAGAATTTAGTGGTGAAGACACCTTTTAAATTCTACAGTTATAACTGTTGCATGCGTATATAGAATTGTAACTGAAAATTAACTCTAAATGGTAAGAATTAATTTTAGAATTGAAACGTTATGTAAGAGATTTAAAAGAAAGGTAATTGAATAGAAGAAGGGGAAAAAAAGAGACAGAATTGTTGAAAGTCTGACCATCCTAGTTTACTGCACTTCTTTATTGCTTTCACAAATCTTTATGGGTATTTATTTTACAGTTATAATTACACATTAAATTCTATTATAAACTCATGAATATGTTGAATTTCTTATTAAAAATAAGGTGAGAAGCCAAAAATCAGAAATTAAAAAAATATTATTATTGGCCAAAGAGAGATGCCACCTCAGCTCTTTCATTCCCACCTTTATATCTAGATATATAGATTCACAGGGTTGACACTTGACACTTTAGGTGATATTTTGTAACCGTCATTCGGCAACTACCCTCATATATGTG